TGCTGAATGCTAGGTATCAATGATATTTCAGGTGGTGGCTGACTCCAAACTCATGAATCTTTCACTGACAGATGCTAGACAGGTCTATGACTGCTGGAGTTTTATACAGACGATATTACAGATGATTATTCTGCCTATATGAACAAATCTATCCACTTGAGGGGGAGGTTAACTATAATGCATAGTTAACTAATTCCCTGTCACAAAATTTTCTAAAAATACAACTGGCTTTAATTACTGCTTTTAATTTGCCATCCACTAATGTTGTTGTTTCATGATAGATATGTAGTAATGCTAGTGGTGGCCTGAAAGGTTGCGAGGTGAACGCCCTAGTTTTAGTGTTTTTTCCAACTCTCATCTTGAATCGTCATTCATTTCTACCCAATAAGACAGAACACCAACAAAGTGTAGCTCAAGCTACCATTTGACACGAAAAAGTAAAGGTCTTGTTTGATTATTCCTATTAAATAGCTACCGGGAATTGTCTCACCCAACTTAGAGCCACAGATAGAGGCTTCCAAAGTGTAGCTGTTGTTGATGCCCATCTTCCACATTACCACTCGACCTGTGCCTTCTTTGCTCTTCCGTACTCTGAAACAGCAGTCTGGGAATGAGAACTGAAAAGACAGGTACAGCATTAGCCTTTGAAGTAAACAGGAAGATGCAATAGTTTCATTTTAACTCTGCAAGTATTTTTAAACCTTATCTGCCAGGTAAACAATTGTGAATGTTCACTCTACTTGAATATTGCACAACATAGCTCAGAGCATACTGTTATTACTGGTATAATGGAGATGTAGGTGAAGTAACAGACCTTTGATTATGAGTTTATTTTGCTTTAAGGATTTCTGAGACATCTGCAGATATTTTTTTATGTAGCTCTACTTCCTGTTTCTAACAGCTGGCCAGCTGAGTTACCACAAATTCTGTTATATACCAACATGTGTATTTAATAAAAAGTTGGAATAGCTCTTCTCTCATGAGTTAATGGACCAACAGTTTGATGCAACTGATCTGCAGCTCACAACCACCTCATTACTGATATCTGAGGAAAAAAGCACTAGCTGCAAGTATGCAATAGCATCTAGTAGGTTAGTTTGTGTATTGTTTTATTTACTGAGCCTTTGCAGCCTTTCTAGTTCAAAAGAAGCCTACTGCAGTCAGATTTTGCTGGAAAATTACATATTTTAAAAGCTGTCATTTCGTATTAAACTTTTTTTTCCCCCTGATTGAGACATCTTACACAAACATGGTGATTTTGACATAATTTTCAACATAAATTTTCAAAAGAATTCAATCAGTAGAAACATTTTTCTTTAGTCTCTTATTTGCTTACTTGTTTGGTTTTAATTCTACAATGTATTTTAAAGCTGCAATTTAATATATGAGTACATGATATTTAATGTTAATTTCTGACATTGTTGAAGCAACATTACTTTGATATTACCTTTTTTCTCATTCCTTTAAAAAAATTAAAAATGCTAACTTCATGTATCAATTCAGCATGATACATTTTCAGAGTGCTGGAATTTCAAAGGAGTTAAAATTTCATATTCCTACCATTTCTAGTTTTAGTCAATTGAAGATTATTTTACTGAGTGAAGTGTGGTCTTCTGGTAAGTGTGACAAAAAATTTGGGATCTCAGATGATGCTTGAGATTTTAGGTGAGTAAGTTTCTAGCCAGACATTTGCTTACCTTATCTGGGCAGCTCTAGCTCAGCAAGAGTGGGAAGACATGTGGCTGCGTGTCTGGTGCTTTTGCTTGCTGCTTTCTCTCACAACCATACATGAAGACATTTTGTTGCATGTTGTGACCATGGATGTCACAATACAGAAAAACACCACATTCCCTCATCATGCTGTAATACAAGATGATAGAATATATTTTATTAAAAGTGGTTTCTTTATTCCTCCACCTCAGAAATAAGTCAGAACAAATACATTACACTGAAGCTCACGTGTAACCTAAAGAGCGAGAAATCAATACAAGTTTCATATTCTGAGCTCTAAGTTAAACCCTTAGTGTACTAGACTAAAGCCAAGTGAGTTCCCTCCAGAATAAAACACTTGTCACAGCACAGAAATAAGATATGAGTGTATGAATCATCAGCCTTTGCCCATGTATCTATGTGTTTGTTCTAACTCTGAGGCTCAGTTATAATACATCCAGCTCTACAGATGTGTACACAAGCACGTTGTACAGCTGAAACCTTCTATTCTTATCTACTGTATTTTCACTCTTGTACACATGTTGAATTATACATTCTGTACAATTACGAGACTGAAGCATAAACAGCACTGAATATTCTTTCCTTTTTCAAACTGGAGACATCAACTTTTTATGATGTGTCAAAATTCTGCAATGTTTTATTGCTTTTTAAGGAAAATTTGCAGGTAGACACACTGGAGTTTAGCAGCCCACACCCCCAATGCCCAATCTGCATCCAAGCAGAGCTCTATAGGGAAGATGTGATGGCATCACACCTTGTCATTTTTGCAGGAGTTGGAAATCCACAGTGGAGCTAAGAAGGAAGCAGCAATAAACACATCTATCACAGCTGACAGTAGCCAAATATGAGGCTGAAGGTCAGCAGCACTTCAGCAGATATAGTTAATATTAATTACAGGGCACTCACAAGTCCGGCCGTCTCCATATAGTAAGACAGAGAGAGGAATTCTCATAGAAAAAAAAGGACAGGTGCAGTGCGCGTTCCCCTGTAAGCTAGGGATCTACATGCCAAAAGATTCATTAGAAAGAACACAGATCTTATTTAAAGCAGGCTGTAACTAGATGAAAAACACTAAATGTAGTAATTCTCACATGAGCTTTTTTTACACAAGTCTTTCTACAGAAGTTAAACCAGAGGGATTTAGTTTACTAGCTGAAGGTTTAGTTTAATACCCAAAGATTTAGTTTCATATCCAGAGTATCAATGGCTCTGTGACTGGAAGTCTGCATAAGAAATCAAATATATTTGTAGCAAAACATAAAGCAAACTTGGAAGTCTTTGCTGTCAAATGGACATTTGGGATCTATTCTGAACCTATTTTCATTCTGGGATGTGAAAAACACCAGAAAAGAAGAAAATTATAAAAATAGGGAATTTGATAAGTAGATTTTGGCAGAGGATAATAGGGAGAGATATGCTGAAAATGTTTTGACAAAAACTCTTTTACTTTAGCAATACAACTTATTACCAGGATTGGAGAAAGGATATTAAAGAAAAACCTGCACAATACTGAAGAAAAAAAAACCCCACTCTGAAATGCAACTGAACGTAAACAAAACAGTCATAAAAGCTTGGGTACAGAGCAAAGATGTAAACATACCAAAACAACATGGGACAGAGAATTCACACTAACACACAGACAATGGAAAGGAAAATCATCTATTCTAAAGGGAAAGAAAATGAGGTTACCTTTAGATCATGTTTCGGGTATACCAGACGGAAGGATAGTATTTCTTCACATTAGACCTGTATTTGCAGTTCAAGTCCTGACCTGTCAAAGAACAGCAGTGATTTCCCACAATCACACCATCTGGATTCAACATGGGTACTACTTTTAAGACAAAATTGTCCCGCAGCAGTTGAGCTTCACCTGAATCGCCAAGAATGTAATCCAGAAAGCCCTTCATTATCCAGGAACTGTTTATCCATTATTGTTTCTCTTGGATGCACCCTCGCAGTCAGTATCACAGCCTTCCTCTCAGAGCCCTTGCTGCTTTTGGAGGAGTTGGTGATAGTTAAAACATATACTACGTTTCCTGTCAGTGAATGGCACAAGATGTGAATCTTGCAGAGTTTGGACTTCACTGGATCTTTAGAGATGGCCACCAGGTACTCCTGCAGGTTGGAGTAGGTGTAAGGATAGCAGTGGGCAAAGTAGCAGGTGTCTCGGTCATGAGGGAACTGGAACGTCCAAGTGAGCGAGAAATACTAACGTCCACCTTGGCGCGCATTGTTTTTGACATACTTGATTTCAACTCCAGTCCTTCGCCAGCCAACCTGGTGTTTCTCAGCATCGGCTTCTGAGTACAACAGCGGCCGCAAGCCGCGTTTGTATAAGCTGTTACGCTTGGTAAAGTTGACAATAGTGAAGCGATGCGGCATACCTGCCTGAGTATTGCTCACTTGGAAGTAGTACCACTGCGTGTGTCTGCTGGTGTAGACGTCGGTGTGCAGGGTGAGCTGGTACTCAAATTCATTGCTGGCAGGCAGAAAGAAGACAAACTGTCGACACTGGTTAGCACTGTAGTATGGTGCAGTGACAGACTACCATGAAATAGCACCCTGCAGTGAATCAGGTGTAAAACCAATCCATACTGTCAGAAATTGAAGTCTATGAAGCTGCCAGGCAAAGATGCCACCGATCGCACCAAGCATGTCAATAATGCAACTGAGTCTTTTTACAGAATACCTGTATCCTTCTGAAAATTCCTTCTACAGACAACTTCATTGAGATAACTTCAAAGCAATATTAGGTGAGCATAAAAATAATTGTACGAAGATTTTGTTGCCTATTCCCACTTAACCTTATAGATTTCAGCCACCCTGAGATCTGACTCTGTCTTGGAGGTGCCTGTATCTCTGCATGGAAGAAGTGGAAAACTAGGGTAATCAAAACTTCTTGTTATCCCCAAACTGTACCCACAAAATAGAGAGAGGATGAGTCTTTTCTGCCAAAATCTGTGAGTCCACAGACCCTGCTGCAGAGCCACTGTAGCCACACTGGTGACTCTGCCTGACCCTAGCAGCATGAGCCAGCTCAGGGAAAAGGGGGACAGGTGAAAACTGCAGGTCTCCCAGGCTGGAATAATGTACTTTGAGACTGGGGGTTTCACGCTGGCAATATTCAACCTGCTGTCTTAGATGCCAGGAGTAAAATTCCCTGCTACATAAATTTTTAACTGGCAAAGTGAAGGATTTGTACTGGTGGCCGGGCACTGATTGCCAAGCTGTTGTATTCTCAGCTCCTGTCGTCTTGCTTCCTTTTATCTCCTTACTGCTGAATCCCCCTGATGAGAAACTGACCCCTTATTACACTGTCAAATAAGGGGGACTGACCCTGTACCATACAGCAGGGTTAAAGCTGCCTCCCTCCAGAACAGGGTTGTGTCTGCCCTTGCTTCACTGGGGCTGTGCTAAAGATTTATCCTGCAGCAGTCTGTCTCTCTTTCTCTCTCCTGTAGTGTTGTTAAAGCTCTGCTAGTGCTGCTCAGGGAAGTTACATAAAGCCAAGATTACCAGAAGTGGTTTTTTCATTCCTTGAATTGCTATTGCCATAGGCAACAGTAACTTCTGTTTTACATGCCTGAAGTTACTAGAGACCCACAGGGGTTTTCATTAGAGAGGGACTGTTAGCTTTGCTGGCTGGGATACCCACTTGAATAATTACTATCTATTTAGCTGAAATTTCATTCATAGTTTTCTACCCTTCCCTTTCTCTTCATGCTCTTCCTTAACATTAAGGAAAAAAAATATTTCAGTAGTTAATCCAGTAAAACTTTCAAAAGCATGCATAAAATCTGAGATCTCTATCATGATATTTTAATTTTTTTGCATGGGAGTAACTACTGGGCTGTATTTTTCTTTCCCAAACCAGATTTTAGGAGGGCCTGTAGGAACTCAGCAGCAGGTAGTTCCCAGACAGACAGCAACTCCT